GTTAACACAAATAGACCTTCTGCAGCTATTCAACTGAATGTGGCTTGTAAGTTCTAGCTTTCAATTCATTTGTCTACAAAGATAGTGTATCCGTAAATAATCTTTACCATTGATGAGCGTCTTTATTGTGCAACAACTTGAATTATTTCTACACGTAATGCTGTTTATATACGTAGTTTTTATTTGAAATATAGGTTTCTTATCAGTGATAATAATGTTTTGAAACATCTGCACCTTACAGTATTATACAAGAGTTTGTTACATTGTATCTATATGTGTGAAATAAAAAAGTGAAATTGTTGATATGTTATAGAACTTGTAATCTTGATATTGGATATTTGCATGTCGGACATATAAGTAAGCAAATCATTCCAGATCCTCACAAATTCATAAGTGCTGTATGTTAATTAGTATTGTATACATGTTGCAAGCTTGAAAAGCATGCTGGCCACTCGCATAAATGTTTAGGAACATGCACATTTTGCCTAGCTATATAATGTTTTGTTGACCAATTGGATGAAAGGTAAAAGTGTAGATATATAGGATTGTACATTTATAATTATGATGTTTGATATTTGCCTGTGTGTCATACCATTTCAGATCCTCCCAGTAACGTGGGTATAACATCAAACCCTGTGTCACCCCTACTAGCTGACAGTACACCCACTTTAACTTGTGAGGCCAGTGATAAGGGGAATCCTGCACCAAACTACCGTTGGTGGAATTCAAGTAACAACGATATCACAGACACAGAATCTGCTGGCAAATCAGTCATTACTGTAGGGCCTCTAACAGACAGAGATAATAGACAGATATATCACTGTGAAGCCTCTAATTATTACACTATAAACAAACCTTCCACGAGTCCGAATGCTACATACACACTGAATGTAGAATGTAAGTATAGTATAAAATACTAAGTCTTGTTAATATGAATTTTGAATTTTTTTGCAAAAAAAGGGGTGCTCCTTAGATTGGGATATTGACAACACAGGTACATGTATTTACAAACACTGAGAATGTCTATATACACTGTATGTATGTAAATTTGTAGAATACCATAATGGAATATATTTTAGTGCTATTATAGTAACTGTAATAGTAGGTAAAATGCATTAAGGAACAATGCTATCACTGACACAGCTCCACTAAAATGTGTTTGATTAAGATATTCATTATGTTTTTGTTACAATCAGCCCTAATATACACGTGTTTGTTGCATTGGTTATTGGGTATTAAGGTGTACTTAACTCACTTATGTATATACTGTTTCAAGTCTACGATGTATAATTATTAAAGAAAAGTCTGATGAACAAAAATAAATCACATTGGGTGTTGCAGTTAACCCGATTATATCAACCCAAGCATCTCCAAGTAGTACAGTTAAAGAAGGAAATGATGTGACCTTGACCTGTGATGTAACCAAGGCCAACCCAACAGTTACTAGCTATGTTTGGAGTAGAACCCAAGACAGAAACAATGGCGTCCATAACCAGGCCTCATATACCATTAATCAGATACAGGTGGAGCAGAATGGGACATACACGTGTTATGCCACAGCACATTCCAGGCGTCATGGCAACCTGGTCGGAGAGAGCAGTGTGACTTTGACAGTTAAATGTCAGTATATAGTTAAACACATCTTTACCCGCCTTATACAGACAAACATGATATGATAGTAATCTAATGTTTGTGCTAAATTTGTTGGCAAATTTATTAATGACTTCTGTGCAAACAATTGGTCAAAAATAAGGAATTGTCTTGTGTTTCCTGTGACAATATTCAGAATTGATGATGTTAATTTTTATATTTTTAATGAAGTAAACTCAGGAACTTGTTTATCATATTGTGGAGCAAATAGTTAACATTACCGACCGGTAGCTACACGGATTATTATTTTGCTTCCAGACCTGCGTGTCTCAGTAGAAAGTATCCCAGCCACACTGGAGAACAGCAGTGTCAGCTTTCACTGTAAACCAGAGGGAATTCCAGGTTCATTTGTTTATAGCAACTGGCAATTCCTGCCACTTACTGGAGGACAACCTGTAGATCTACATAGAAACCAGAACCCTCTGGTACTGAACAATGCACAGTACACAGATGCTGGGACATATATATGTACTGCTAGTAACTCCCAGTTCACGAAGACTTCAAATGGAAGTTTAGCTGTCAAATGTAAGTGATTATTGTAACAACATTCTGCTCATACTGACATGATGACCAAATTTTGTATACTTTCGTTATACATGTAGATGTGGGTACAGATTACTTGAAGCAAAGTGAAATTAATGTCTGTCACATATTTACCGTATTTCTTGTGGCTGATAATGAATTGAAGACAATCCATAAAAAAAGTTTCCCTATTTCACTGGGTTCTAGGTTAATAAAATGTCAGCCTTTTTGTTTGCCATCTCACAAATAAATCTTTTAGCATGGCAAAGTTTATGTTAAGCATAAGTGTGGTATACAAATACAATTAGCTGGAATCTAAATCCTAAAGTTTGAATGACATATTTTGAAAAGAAAAAAACCATTGCATTTGTCATTTGTGTTCAGATGCAGCCAAAAAAGATCCATCATCTGACCGAGTCACAAACCTGGAAGTTTCAGCAGACATTGGAGAGTCTGTAACCTTGACCTTGTATATCATTGCTTACCCAAAACCCACATCTTACTCCTGGAGGAAAATAAACGGCAGTTTACCTTCTACATACAATCAGACAGATCTGGAGTATGCATCAACACTGAGGGTTGACAAGTTGAGTGACAGTGATTACGGCACCTATGTATGTAGTGTGGACAATGGTATTGGACAGTCTGTTTTTGTATTCAAACTGGAAAGAAAAGGTGAGTGTGATGGATGTACCGTGTAAACGGAAAATATGTTTGATGAGCATATTAAATGAGCATGTTTTTAGTAACAGTAACAAAATGTATCAAATTTATCTTAGGCCTCGGGCACACTGCGCCTGCAACTCTTTAGAAGCGTTTTAACTACAAATTCTGGTGGTCACTTGTTTGAAAGCTGATAAAGTACCTGAGAGGTAAAATTGTTTGGGCATGCGACATTATTGTCATTGATGGGAACCTCACGCATCGGGGTTTGCTATGACATCTTGCCCCATTTTATCCCATTTTACACGCTTGCCCTGGCTTGACAATGTTCCATTAGGATAATGCCAGGTGGCATTGTACACGGTATGAATGCACGGGTGTGGGTGAGGGTGCCAGAAAGACGCCAGAATGGCGGAGTAAAAGAGACTTAAGGAAAAAACTGTGTTCAGATCATTACCACGTATCTGCGGGTTCATGATTATTCTCTGTATTAATGCTTTTATTTGAACCATACCTTTAATTCTATAATTTAAGGAAAGCCTGATGCTCCTTCCAATCTTGAAATGTTCAACATATCAGCCATCTCTGTGACTGTGCAGTGGATTTCAAACAAAGATGGTGGGTATCCGCAGACATTTCTGGTTGAGTATAAAACAGAGGATGGACCATGGGTGTCTACTTCAGCAGTTTTAGATCCAGGCTATAAACAAACTGGGTTGAAAAAAGTGCCCAATCTACAACCAAACACGAACTACATGTTCAGAGTGGAATCAAGGAATGACCATCAAGATGGGAGTGGTGAACAGTTTGCTAGTGGAGGATATTCTAGCACAGTCACTGTGAAAACAAAGGGTAAGACTACTAACTAAATTAGATGAAAATGATGTATCAGTTTTGATTTTTTTCTGTGACCATAAAATTACGAAAAAATAAAGACTAAAATAAAAACCATATATAAATATTCTTCTTAAATATCCGTTTATCTGCATATTTACATTACGTCTACATGTACACGCATAACCTACATTGCCTCAGATGTACTTGTGTCCTTAAGAAACATGCTAAATAAGGACATGAAGAAGTATATGTGTGGATGGGGTGGACTATATGACCAAGCCTATACCATATCCGTCGTCTATGCATTTATATGATCATTATTGCTAGCGAGCCTTTCATGTACAGTTCAGTTATACCTAATGTGTATAGTCGTACTGGGTATTTTTGAAAAATTGTCAATAATATTAAACATTTCTTACCTGTAGACAAACATTGTCATTTTAGTCCGTCCAATTATTCCTGAAACCAATGGCAGTGAGAAACCGTCTTTGACAATCTCAAAGGACATCGCTGTTGTATCTTGGACAGCCCCAGAGCAAGGTGAAGTAACATCTTATGGTATCAAGTACTGTATTAAGGGTACCCTGATATGTGTGGAACATCGTGTAAATAACAGCAGCACTACATTTGCAGCATTGCGTATTACAGAAGGGAAAGAATATATATTTACAATGATTGTCTACCAAGGAGATGATGTTGTGTATGAATCTGAACCCTTTGCTCAAGGTTGGTAACACATTCTACAGTAAGAGAAAATATACAGTAAAACTCACATTCTTTGGGGTCTGTCAAATAATTCTAATTAGGCAAATGATTCTAATCTGTTACCTTCGTATTGATTCATCAATAAGTAATAAAGGAAAAGAACGCGTTTCATAAAATCTGTTGAGATAAATGGCTACCATGGTTCTAAGGTAAAAAGTGAAAAACAGCTTATTTAAACACCTAATATTTATGATTGTCCTTTAAAATATTACGCGTGTTAGGAATGTGGCGTCGGTAGCGCCTTTCAGTGCATATTGTTTTCATATATAAATATCTTCATATAACCTTTGTCACCAATCATTTAAGGAACCTGGCACGATGGAAGCCATGCTAATGAAGTAAACGTAGCAGCCATTGTTGGGGGTCTTGCTAGTGGAATTTTGCTCCTTGTAGGAATGGGGATTTTATTCATCGTTCGAAGAAAACTGTTTACATGTACGGGTAAGTCATCACGGGTACATGTGAATATCAAATAATTAGCCAAAGAGTGCTCTGATACATGGCTTAACGTGTCCCATTATATCAACTATTAGTATGTCTTCAAATAATAAAGATCATGGAAAAAAATTGAAAACATAGTATGACTCGCTTTTCAGATTGCCCAAGAACTAAGACAGAGATGGGGAGCGGTGCATGGGATGTCATCAACATGAGTCAGGTTATAACTATGCTTGTAAATATGCTTGTAAATGTGCTTGCCTGTGCTTGTGTTTAAATGAGTTTTGTAGGTTACATTGTTGTTGTTAGTTTCATCTCATTAAATTGCTGTTGTTCTGCTGGACATCTTCCTTAAATTTGTAACGTAAATATTTTCATTTAGACATGTGAAAGACAATCATAAATGAGGTAAGTAATTTATTCCAAATATTGGATATTTTATATATTTATTGCTGAATAATCCTTATCATTTCTCATATTGCCATATCTTATCCTATCTTATATAAAATCATTTCAATCTTTGTTTGGTTTACTTAGGTAGAACAAGTCAGCCAGAGGGTATATGAAAGTCCAGTACGAAGTGAAAAGGAATCTTTGGTGTACACCGAATTAAATGCTTCTGCTACCACAGTGGGTTACAGTTTTTTATTTTGCTACAGACCAAATGAATGCCTTAAGTTTATGACAAGGGGACATTTTTAAATTGCTTATTATATTTAGTGCAATTCTTTTAGTTCATGCTTTCAATTAAAGTCAACAACTCCGCCAACAACTCCAATATCAGTCTCACTTTCCACATTCTTCTTTAAGTCTAAGGAATTTCAGATTGCTTAAAATGTTACAATATTAAGTCTCTGAAATAATTTAATATGTTTTGTATAGTCAGTGACTTTTGGATATTACACCCATGATATATAAAAATCATGTTCGGTTATAAATCACAACAGATAGTTGGGGTGACATTTTTAATGGCCAAACATGGCGATTGCACAATAATATCATCTGCAATGGAATGATTTTATATGGGGAAATAAATAATTGCATTGATGAAATTCAAAACATAAAGACAACATTAATGATGTCACGTTTTTACTCTAAGGGTGCACCAGTGTATGCTATTGTTAAGGAAAAAAACGTGGAAGTTCTGAGACAAAACATCAAGATTCTAGAGAAGATAGGGAGTGGGGCATACGGGCAAGTTTATAAAGGAAGTGTATTGCAGCTCAATAGAAACCAAGGATGGACAACGGTGGCTATTAAAACGATAAAAGGTAAAAATACTGCATGACCTTGGAAAATGACAAAATTAATTTTGGTTACCTCAAATAATAAACACAGTTTTATGCGTTATGACACGGCTTTAGTATTACGTTTACTCATATTAGTATAACATCCTCATATATGTGTACTCCAAGAACTATGTTGACTCTTTGCTTCCAGATGTAGAAAATCCAGCTGTGATCAAGGACTTACTGGACGAGTTAAAAGTAATGTTAGAGCTCAGCCCTCACCCAAATGTGGTTAGTCTACTAGGGTCCTGCACAGGTGATGATGGTAAGATAACACTGAGTTTTGTGTTTCTTTAAATGGCTCAGATCCTCTCTTTCTAATAACAGCAGTAAATTAATATCAGGACAAAATTATTATCATCTGTAAATAAGCGCTGAAGGGCATGTAAAGGCTTTCTGGTGTTCCACAGCTGTCCCGCCGTGCTGTTTCATAGCCTTTCGACGGCCGTAATCCCATCACTCAGTAATGGTATACAGGTACCAGCTGAAAATGTAAGCAATTTCTAGTTTAACAGCCGGTAATTTGTATCCATGTAATACTACAAAACCAAAGTCCTTACTTTTTTTTATAAATTGTTTATCTTATATAATTTTTTGTTTCTCTATAAGGCGAGTTTCTCGAGTCTACATGTATCTCGCGGCATGAATGTATGTTTCAACCAAACGCTATTGCTGTTTCATTAACACATTACTGTATTGCTTTATTTGTACATTCTAGGTGTACCTATGATTATCATGGAATATCTTCCTAACGGAAATCTACAAGATTTTTTGAGAAATGATCGATCAAAGCAAAAAATGGTATATGGGAATTTGCATGGTGTCAGCTCTTCCTTAACGTCACGTAATTTGATGAAGTTCGCCTTAGACATCGCCAATGGAATGATGTTTCTTTCCTCAATGTCCGTGAGTTTTTCTTCCAGTGTTGTGTACCGTTTTTGTCTAAATTTGCTCATTTTTAACACACACTGTTGTATTTGAATTCAATCATTTGTGTTAGGTGGTTTGAAGGTCTTTTTGTGAGGAATTTTACTGGTGGAATATGCAGTGTGATTTATACAGTTTCAGTGAAGTTTCCATTTCAAATGAAACTGCCGTTCTACATATATCCATCTGAATTTGCGGTGACTCTTGCTGAATGCAATTAGATTTACATATTAACCATGATATAGTTTCATTGGGATTGGGAATTCAGATGACATTAATTGCACACCTGCAACAATTTCATGCACGTTATAGATTCTCCACAGAGATCTTGCCGCACGGAATATTTTGGTGGCTGAAGACAAAACATGTAAGATTTCGGACTTTGGTTTCGCTAAGGACGTCATTGAAAGTCACCAATATGAGAGAAAGACACAGGTAAAAGGCGGTTAAAATTGACGTCAATCACAATCCCTAATAATAAAACATAAGAACATTTTAACAACATGATTGTATTTTGAGAGCTATTCATGTCAGAAAGATAACAACGTGTACTCTATGTTATCAGTAATTATTCATACGAAAAAGTAAATATCTTTGATTGGATGTCTCCTTCAAAACTTCTCTTAATTGTTGTCAGGGCCGTTTACCAGTACGCTGGATGTCTCCAGAAGCACTGTATGACAACATATTTACCACACAGTCTGATGTGTGGGCGTATGGTGTACTGCTCTGGGAGATTGTCACACTGGGTATGTTTCTCATTTTTTCTATATGATTCTTTATTTGTATTTTTTTTGAATGGACAAAACATCATATCACAAATTTAAAATTGAAATAAAGGAAGTTAACTATATTTTTGTAATATCAGGTTTGTTAACATTATTATAAATCTCGTATTAAAACAGTTTTTAATGGAGTATGCGATCTGTACGGCATGTGTTACTTTTCTAAGGTTCCACCCCCTACCCCGGTATGTCAGCCAAGCAGGTGATGGAGGCTATAACTGAGGGTTACCGGATGCCACAACCACCACACTGTTCACAGGATATGTAAGTTAAAACCTTCATGTATAGATCTGGTGTACCACTTAAGCAAGTACCCGTAGTAAGGTTTATAATCTTATACATGTGCGAAAACACTCTTATTATGCGTCTTTCGTTTTATCTTTTGAGTCATGTGTTTACATAAGAACATAACATTCCACAAAAGGGTGTTTGAAAACAAGTTTGATACTTTATCTGACACCTTTATTAAACTGCATATTCAGGTATAACCTCATGTTATCTTGCTGGGAGGACAATCCAAGTTCACGACCCTCGTTCAAAGCAATAACTGTGTCCTTGAATGACCTGCTGTCCCGAGACTTCGAGGTTCTAACCCTTGGAAAGTTTGAGGAGAAGCTTTATGAAGATATTGACCAATTTAGGCTTGATGAAAAATGCTAATAAAGGAAAGTTGCTAACACAGCTTTCATGGATATTTGTAAATTGATAGCTGGAAATTTCAGATGCTAATGTTTCTAGTAGGGAGTGAGTTCTATTTTTGCGAATACCATATACACGGTATTATGTGCTCGTAGCCTTCTTGCAGTTCATTCAATGCACTACGTATATCCCTGGGAAAGTCGAAGCTGCTATGCGTATCGATAGTAACAAACACATGTCAATGTGACCCTCAAAGTTGACCTACAGTACTTGCATGTATTTTATTTATGTATTTTTTCATTTCACTCTTTCTAGTTTGAAATATATACACAAATCACAGGTCGTGCATTTTCTGGAGTCACATGCAGTGTCATATATTCATGGTGTTAGTATAATATAGGTTTACATATTTAGAACAGTCATATCCTCTCACAACTGCGGCAAAATCGGCGTTTTAGATGACGATTCAAGATATAGGAACTACCAATGTAATGAGATGAAACAAATATTGGCTTGGGTATTATTTTAGAATTTGTATTTAGCAATTGTATTTCAGTGTTTGTATTGATGAAAAATCAAGTTCCTTTAGGCTAGCACATATTTTACAGAACCAATCATCAGCTATCTTTTCTAGTTAGATAGATATATAGATATATAATTTATTCCAGTGTGAGCAGAAATTACAATGTAAGTTTATTTACAAACCCCAATATATATATATATATATATATACAACCAGTGTAACAAAAAACAAATCCATTATTACACACAAGTTGATCGAGTCAATATGGCCTCGATACATGCTAATAAAACGGTAACACAATGTTAGCATTATAGGAAAATAAACAGTTTACACAAAATATCAACAGACACAGGTCGTGTGTAGGCCTTACATGCATGTGGTATTTATACGTAGTAGGTTTGCATAAAAAATTCACATTTTACCAAAAATAGTATGGCCAATTTTACATTTTGAATTTGATTTGTATTTCTCTATGCTTAGGGTTTATTTAAATAATGGAAACCTCAGTCGCAAGGAGGTTGCCATAGGTTTTAAAGTGGTCGCATAAGGTTGCTAACAGGTCGCCTGCGATTCGTTGACACATAAAGGCCACTTTTTGTGCACCGACAACCAGTGCTACTAAAGATGAAAAATATTGGTATCCTAAAGGTTGCCTATCGGTCTCTTCTTGCTTGTCAGTAGGTTGCTATAACCAGTATTTAGTATTTGATTGACAGCATTTAGTCGACTGGTCGCTTACAAGTTTTTTTTTACCAGTCGCAAGCAGTCGGCAGCAGGTCGCTAGAAGGTTGTAGTTGCAACCGCATGGTCGATTGATGGTCTTTAGTCTCTTGGTCGCTAACAGGTTTTTTACCGATGGCAGGCATTCGAAAATATGTCGCAAGAAGGTTGCAAGCGACTGCAATAAAATAGGCGTAGGATGGTGATCTATTTGGGCAAAGACTTTTTCCATAATTTGTCATGTATGCCTTCTAAATATAAAGATCACAAAATATAATATTTAAGAAAAAGAAAACATAAATTGCATTTGTTGACAATATTTAAACTTATTGCCAAGGCTTTCATATACCACGTATTTCAATTTAAGAACCCCCCCCCCAAAAAAAAAAAAAAAAAATTAATGTGAAGCTCAAAGCAATGTACGATTTTTTGACGCTATGTTTATTTATTTTATTATTTTGCGAAAATCATAGGTAAAATTCCGAAAACCTCAATTATATATTGCTGTATGTCATTTAATATTTGCAAAGCCATATCATCAGAGTAAACAATGAAACAAATACACGAATGCAGAGAAAACGGAAAATAAAAACAATTTAATCTGCAAGGTATAATTGCTATTTTAAACCATCAAAACTATCCACAAATGATCGTCAAATGTCTCCAATAACCTTAAATAAAAATAGTTTCAACACAAACAATTTAACATCTTTCCAGTGCTTGGTATCCTCACTGCAAGGATGAGAGAGTAAAAAATACACGATGCACACGACCTGTCACGCTTTAATTACGTTGTATTGTAACTGGCAAACGCCTGGGGTTAAAAAGACAAAGGGAAAACCACATATTCGGTTGCAAATCAGTTGCAAAGCAGACGGCGACCTGTTAGCAACCGGTTGGATAACAAGCAACTTTTTTGGTCACCAGGAGGTTATCGGTGCTGCACCGAAAACCGGCGCAACCGGATATCAATCCAGCGTTCATTTGGAAACCACTTTGCGAGTTGTTGCAACCGATTACCGACCTTTTTGCAACCGGTGACAATTGCAAGTCGCAAAGAGGTTTTTTGTTCAGTGTGACTGTAACTGCACAGGCCTTGCGACCTCAAAGAGACCAAGTATTTGAACATGAAAATAATAAAGAGTATTATTATAAGGTTAATAAGGATTAAAACGTATGCAAATTTATGTTTTTATTACAGCACTTGTTTCGTTAGGTTTCAAAAGTTCACAAAACATTGCTGGTTTCTATTTTTAGAAAGGAAATGAAAACTTCCAGATTTTCAAGTCCAAGTTCTTTGATCAAATATTTGTAATCGCCTTACAAGGGGTGTCTTACAATCCACGGTCTCACCCAGTGTTTTCGAGTTTTTTATTCTTTTTATTTCTTAGGTAAACAAAGCCATTGATTATAGCAGTCCCGTTTTACTAGATTTTTTTTTTTTGTCTTTTGAAAGGGGAATTTATGAGAAAGCAGCTACTTTCACAAGTTGGCAACATAAATATTCTGTGCGACCTTGCTGCTACTAGTAACTAAGTTGACAAGCGATTGCTACTGTCCTGCAACCGGTTTTCAATCACCAAGTGGCTGCAGATACGTTGTTTATCGCTCGGCAAACGGTGTGCAACTGTTAACCTATAACGTGAAGAATTAGAATTAGAGTTTGCAGATACCATACTGCAACCTTGTTGCAACCGTTTTGCGACTGCTTACCGGTCAAAATTGGTCACAGCTTCTTAATTAGCTTGCAAATTGATCGTAAGCGACCGCCAGATTTTGTGGTTGAAAAAAGGTTGCCAAAAGGTTTCAACCGCAGTGTGACCCAGCCTTTACATAATGCAGCAGCGCAACAAACCTGGTATTCAGTTAATTGGTAGCGACACACCTGACTACACACTTCTCCCTTCAGATTGGAGTTTAAAAAAAAGAACGCATTTTTTACCTAGGCATACCTTCGAAACTGAAATATTCCATATTAATTGTCATGTCTGTTATATTACAGTGTTGTTAAAACTGATCATACATGAAGGTCAATTTCATAACCATCGAAACGGAGTAAAATAGGCACTTTCATTTTATGGCGTATTGCACTTATGCATGCAGTATATGCTCATGCGCATACAAACGCAATGGGTTCGTTAAAATTCCGTATGTTTAAGTTTGGAATACGAAGACAGACGTTGGGGTACGTTTAAGTCCACATATGCAGGAGGAGGAAAAGTTTCAAGCATCTTTAAAATGTTCAATGTATACGAGCGTTTGAGTCGTTACAGGTACGTTAGGCACATGTGAGGGATAGGCTGGGCATACGAAGAATAACAAAAATATACATAACTGAAAGCTACGCTTGCAATTCACTGGTTTGATATACACCTGGTATAATATACTTATTATTATTATTATTATTATTATTATTATTATTATTATTACAACAAAAAGGACCAAAGTCACTTCAATCAGCAGAAAGAACGACAGACGTTCTATTATGACAACAACAGAGGAGTGAAGGAGTTGAATCCCCTCAACGTTGGGGACAGTGTTCGTATTTGCCCTAATCCGAATTCCTCGCCCTATGTCTGGACCCCAGGAACTGTCGTAACAAAACACGACTAGCCCAGATCATATGTTGTTGAAAGTGGTAATCGCAAGTACCGTCGAAATCGTAAACAATTGCGACTGTCAACCCCTGCCGCGAACGAGGTTACAGGGAACACTGAAATTGACATACCGCTACCGGAAATCATACCGGAAGTACCTGAAATTAAGTCAAAATCCGTGGCTGTAGACGACAAACTGACTAATAATGAAACTGTACAGCGACCAGAATCGCGCCCAGAACCTCCTGTTACACGCACTCGGTCTGGAAGAGTTGTTACAGCACCCAAAAGATTTGACGACTAGAAAGACTTAATTGACTCTTAGTTGTTGTTAAATTGGAGACTTTCACTGTGTTTGGAGCACAATAATCCCCGTGTAATCTCCACAGAACACAGTGATTTCATGAAACCAATATATATATAATACTGTTTGTCTGTAAGTAATACAAGACACTAGATCTTTCATTTAAAGAAAGGGGGGTGTAACATATGTCAACATTACTGGTACGCCACCTAAAATTAACAATTACTTAAGCGACTCCGGTTACTCTTTTTGTATGACATAAGCGACTCCACGTGTTTTTGCAGTTTAATAAAGTTCCCACCATCTTGCATGATTCGGCTTGTCTCTCGTCTTTTGTGTAAAAACATTACAGCCTACTAGAGATAACATATTCTTCAAACTTTGAAAATTTAAACCTAATATAATATTGTAACTCATATCTAAACAATTCAGGCTGGCAACTTTTTTTCTCGCACTATAGTCCCACCCCCTACGAGATTCAATTGTTGCTTCATTTTTTTCCGAAGTTCTAAAATCGTGTCCGTATATCATTCATAATTTATGCTCATTTACGTTATTCTTTGAAACCACGAGTAAGAGTCCATGTTTTTCTACTTGTCTATATAAAATGACTTTACAGAGTGACCTTGTTTGATTTTAATAGAGCATTATTTGCAAGGGATGGTTTTTCAAGTCGGCCATCGCAGATGTCCAGAAACGGCGCTATTTCGTAACGCGGACTCACTGAAAAGTTTCAAATAACCGCCATGACGTTACGTTTCTCAGCCAGTTGACACCTGACTGTTAGTAGAGAGAGAGTCAACAAAAATCCCTTCTCTGTTTTTCAGCATGGGCTGCCCTTATAAACATTTAATAGCAATAAGTAGAAAGAGGCAGC